AAAAGCATAACTCTGCAAACAGAAGTACAGAAGAGGCATCTCTAAAGCATCTCTTCCAAACAATGAGAATCAAGAGCTTGTGTGTACAAGAACACAGTGCCGCGCTTCACTCTAAAACACGCAGCAGCACATTTAATTATTTAATTCAATCACATCCTTCATGATTTAACATTGTGATTTTGGTGCTATTTTGATTAATCGTGTCATTCTATGTTACGTAATACATTAAGTTCCCACAGAAAACTGGAAGCAATGCTTTCCATAGGGCTTGTGTTTAAATTCTTTCCAAAGCTTTTGAAGAGCAAAGACCAAAACTAAATTAAAACACTTTCATTGTAGCAAAGCCATGCAACGACTCACTCTGGGTGTAAAAAGCTCGTTTCACCTAAGCAAAGAGCAGCTACGTCAGACAACACGAGTGCCGTGCTTTTACATCTCAACCCATAGAACCCTATCGCTCTGAAGCACACAATTGCTGCTTTTGAACTGGCCATTCAAGGCCGTTGTGAACTTGTGACTCTATAGAACTATTCATGGCTTTACCTCCCCAGAAGAATGTAATGAGAGTGGGTTACTTACTTGGCGTGAAAGCAAATCTGTGCTTGCATAATTCGCAGTACTCTTTTCTGCTGTGTTTAAGCCACTGCACCAAGCTGTGAAAACACAAGAGGGGGGCAGGAAGTGGGCGTGAGGAGGACGATCTGACTTGTGTGAAAAAGCACAGAAAATCCTGATTCATTTCCCATTTCCACAAGGGAAGAATAACAAAAAGCTGGAACTCCATAGTTGGTTACCGTTACATTGAGGAGGACTCCTGAGCTCATAAGTTACAGCTTGTCAGTTAGTCAAATGGGTGTTGCTGACTCCATTCAGTAACCAAAAACAACAAAAAACTGAACACAAAGCCTAACAAAAATAACTGGCCCCAACAGAAAGGTTAACCCTAGATCTACTGACAGACAAATTAGCCGATTTAGGGTATTACAGAAATGTGCAACACAACTAAAATACTATTTTCTTTTTTATTTATCATCTACTTTTGCAATATACACTACCATTAAAAAGGTTGTGGTCAGTAACTTTTTTTTTTTTTAAAGAATTTAATACTTTTATTCAGCAAGGATGCATTCAACTGATCAAAAGTAACAGTAAAGACGTTTATAATATTACAAGGTTTCAAATAAATGCTGTTCTTTTCAACTTTCTGTTCATCAAAGTATCCTGAAAAAAAGTATCAGATTTTCCACAACTGTTTTCAACACTGATAATACGAAATGATCACCAATACAATGCAAAATATTTCTGAAGGATCATACGACACTGAAGATTGGAATAATGGCTGCTAAAAAATTCAGCTTTGCCATCTCTTGACTAAATTACAATTTAAAACTTTTTAAAATAGAAAACAGTTTATTTAAATGATAATATTATTTCACAATATTACTGTTTTTACTGCGTTTCTGATTTTAAAAAATGCAGTCTTGGTGAGCATAAATGACTTCTTTCAAAACCTTAAGAATGTTACCAAAACCAAACTTTAACTTTTGAATGGCAGTGTATCAACAAGACTTTCACTAAATCATCTTAACTATGCTTAATGCCTGCACTTGTTGACTTGTAAGCTTACTAATGAACAGCGAGGCCTTTGTCAGATCAGATCATATTCTTGTTTGTCAGAGCTTGGAACCCCTTCTTACATTGCAAGTGGTATTCCATTTCACGCTGTCCCATTTTTTGCCATTACTGACTCATCTTGAGTAGGACACCTAGAATTATTACTGCAGGACAGCAGGTTAAGTGTAGTTAACTGCTCAAATTACATCCTCTGAATTTTATAGCAGGCACAATAAACTAATAATAAAGTGCCTTTAGGCATGAGCCAGCTGTTATCATTGACCGTTACTTCTAATGTCCCATTTCTAACTTAAAAACAATGTACTCGTTGGAACAATCTGACACGTTGGAAGGTACTTTACATTGTTTGACCCAAAAAGCATCTTATAAAACAGTACAAAAATAGTTATCGTACAGGGAATTCATCACTGAATGAACAAAGCTCTTACCATTCTTGGTGGATGAATTTAATACTTCCAGTACACACGCAGGGATGGTAGAGGGGTTTGTCCTGAGTTCCCTCAGATCGACACACCCTACATATATCACCTGCCAGAAAATATGGGCAAAATAAACATTTAAAACCGATATATACAGAACACATTAAATTAAATGAGAATGAACAGGATATAAGTGTTGCAACAAACACACTGTACCTGCCAAAACATGAAAGGCTATGAGTTATGAAATTAGACTTAATTACATTTTGTGATTTTCAGTTTATACCGAAGAAGAAGAAAAAAATGGTAGATACATGCAAGATTATTGCTTGCAATCTTGCCAATCAATCTCCTGGTCATCTTTGCCCTCTTGCTTTAACAACAGTTACTATAAACCTAAACTAGATAATAATGAATAACATGAGAGACAACTATCACTCCTCCGGCACACATAAAGTTCAAAAATCAATGGGATCTCATTTCAGGCAGTGTTTTAAAGATAGTACACGTGATTTGACTTATGTACTACGTTTCATTTTTGTCATCAATATTTCAGGTGCGTTTACACCTGATACACAAATAGACCATTCCACGTAAGTTATACATTTTATGATAATGGCTAATACTACTTTACATGATTAATGTGCTTTTAAAAATTTCCATGACGTCCTGTAAAGTCGAAATCAAGTTCAAATTCATATTAGTGTCTTTATTTTGACGTGCTTGGAGGATGACAGCTGTACTATAGACCAAGCTGGCAGGAAAACATTTAGCTCGTTAGCTAGCAAAAGGCCACATCAGTTACAGATGCATTTTTGGTTGCGCGCTCCGGCTAAATCATCATAATGTTAAACATACTTTAGTCAAAGCGCATTTAAAAATCAACAACAAGCAAACAGACAGCAGCCACAATGCCTTCGTGTCTAGACAGCTTACCTTCTTCGGCAGTGTCCATCTTGTACGGTGACGCACTGTCCTCTTTTACAGTCAACACATAACACACACCGCGGAACAAAACACACAATATCAGCTTACAACTACGCTAAAATACAACATGACGAAATCGATCCAAGCATGAACGCCGCATAACCCCAGACCTGGCCCCTTTTTTTTCGTGTAACGTCAGTGCTTACAGATAGCGCTGATCGAGCTACTTGTTGGTCGACTATTTTATTTTATGTTTGTGGCCTCTGGATCTGAAATGTGCTGCTACGGTTTCGGTTTACGGCAGAGCACGCGACACTTTCTGGCGTTTTCCGGTGGTGACTGCGCTAGGTTGTAGATAAATTAACTTACATACGAACTACTACAGCTCGATATGCATCTTGTTAGTATATTTTTTAAGATGCAATGCGAAATTATGCATTAAATCAAATAAGGATTGCATTAAAGATGCAATCCTTCTTATTATTATTTTAATTAAAAAATACAATACGGATGCATCATGGTATATGGTATTTACTATAACCAGTGCACAATGCCAGCGTAAAATACTAGAGGCAGTTTTTGTAGTTTGCATGTATGTTAAGGGGGTGAGGCATGGGACTGAATCTTTTTACACCTGGGCATGTGTAAACAAACACACATGCACACCTTTTTCTATTAGGGATATGGACTATTTGTTGGCATCTCATGTTTTGTAGGTAACATTTTGTATGAGGGCATTTGGTCTCCACAATGCAAACAAGTTAATATGGGGGTGTGTAAGGCTCAAAGGTTTTGTGGTGAATGGGATTTTTTTTATGTAATGGAAATTAGATGTGTTAACATGATCAATATGAGATATGATTTTTATAATAAATGTGACATAGTAATACTTAATTCAAGGAATAATGTTGGATTATTTACATGACATATATATTCTTCCCTATGAGCAGTGTTGGGGAAAGTTACTTTTAAAAGTAATGCATTACAATATTGCGTTACTCCATAAAAAAGTAACTAATTACGTTACTTAGTTACTTTTTAAGGAAAGTAATGCGTTACGTTACTTTTGCGTTACTTTTAAAATCTTGACAGAACTTGCTTGTTTGTTTTTAAAATAAAAAAGTTATATTTTTGGCAAATATAAAATATGAGTACTAAAAATGTACTTTTACTAGGGGTGTAATGATTCAGATTGCTCAGTTCGGCTCTATTCACGGTTTTAGGGTCACAGTTCGGTTCGGTATGTGCTATGTTCAGGGAAAAAAGGACTATGGTAAAATAAAAATAAAGAAAATAATATTAAATAATCAAACTAAATGCAACAGCACAAATAAATACAATAGAGCAAAGATACATAAAATAAACAGAGTTTTTCAGGTGTTTAACAGTAATTTCAGGAACAGAAATTTAAAAGTAAACAAATGTAAAATAACAGTGCATATTTCACTGTATAAATTAAAGAATCCTTGTTGAAGTTACAAAAGCTATTTCAAGAGAAGTGAGTGATTTCTATGTCTTTTGTTGTTTAACATTAAAAACACAGACAGCAGGAATAGACTGCTGTTCCTTTAAGACATGATTCACAGATCCAGTACACTGATACTGATTCACAAACGTCATCTTTCTCGACTGTTCACGTTCACTTAAGACATGACCAATAATGTTTGCAAGGAGACTCACAAAGACGGGCATGTTGACATATTTTTGTGTGTTAGTTTGTCAGTTCAAACGCAAGTCTTGAAAGTGAAATCAGCATTGGTGTGACACGCGCAAGGGCAGGGGCGGACCGAGGTACGTACCAAGAGTACCCTGATGCATATCATGGGTGGTGTATCGCGGATTTTCGGTTCGGGTTTGAATATCTTTACACCCCTAACTTGTACTTAACTAAAATAAATAAATAAAAGAAGCTTTAAAGAAGAACATAAAATATACTTATCAGAATATGATCACTCCACACCTCTGAGAAAATACATAAAATCATTTTATCATATAATATAAATGCAGAAAAAACAAACTGATTCTTATTTTCTTTACTAAAACAAAGGGATATTTAATTAGGAACAATATGCAACCAAAATAGGTTGCATTTTTCAAGCTTACATGAGAGACAAAATGTTTGTCAATATTGTAAAGAAAGAAATGCCTCTTTAAAGAAATTAGTTTCCCTAGTTTGTCGCTAGTTCTTGTCTTTCACTGTCTTTATCATTTCTGATGGGAGGTTTGAATGTCTTGGCATTATAAACCCAAACAGTATCAATTCCCTCTCCAGCGACATCATCAGGAGTCCAAGTGGGAAATGGAAAGCGACAAGCTACTAATTTGGCTGAACTCTGGAGCTCTCTTTGGAGCTTGACTTCAAGCTGCTCCATCTGTGGAGAAAACAACCTTAATGTTAATGTAAAATATTGAATGTATGTGTATGTGTATATGTATATGTATATATATATATATATATATATATAT